TGTACACGCTCCTTCTCGAACCCAATTTAAAGCACTATTAGACATTTATTTATGCGAATCCTCGCGCTGGCGAGCATACTGCCCCGCGCTGAGAACATAAAGAGCAGTGCTACACCCTTTTTCACTTGTGCCTTTCAGGTGAACGACAGCGACCGACCGACAAGAACAAAACCGACCCGGGAACTTGGGCAAAAGCCTCGATCCTGTGTATCAATCCGTGAATCCGTGATTTCCCTACAACGGTACCTGTGTATCAATCCGTGAATCCGTGATTTCCCAGCGTACAACGGTAAGCTTTCTAGCACACATAAAAGGCGCCTAAATGTGATTTTAGCTGAGTCCTTGATGCAATGGGGATAACTGGAGAAGGAGGACCATACCCAAACTGCACCACACTGGGAGATTTGTGTTCCAGTAAAAGTGCACACTCTGAACTTGAACAGTTCCTCACCGTGTCCCTGCCGGGTAATGTCGGTGTCAATGGTACAGAGCTATAGGAAAACCCTTGCTCACAAAAGGTGTAAACAAACACCTGGTTACTCGGTTAGCGGCGGGGCCCCAGAATTTCAATACGTTTTTCACTGTTCATGAACAGATTTTTGCAACCATCTGCTTGCCATCTCGTTGTGGGAGCTCAAAGGAGGCCACATCCCACCTGCGTCTCTATTAGGAGAGTTGGTACACGTACCCATGGTGAGGGCCGGTGTGAGCTCCGTGAAGCTTCTTTGAGCCCATAAGAGTAATGCGTGGGATTATTCGAGTCACCCAAAGACGCTTAGTGCCTTCTGGATCGATTTTTTGCTGTGTGATGAGAATGTATGTGAACAGGAAAAGATAGTGTCCAAAGCGATTCTTCTTTCCTTTTTTGTTTTCTTATTGTGTACAACGAATTCCTTGTTTTATTTTTCCGTTTTGTGTCTGTATTGCCTTTCCTGTTCCAACCTGAACGTGAATCGCTCTTTGACCTTGTCAGCGCACGTGTTGTTTAAATCAGCACGTTGATTTCGATATTTTTCAACCATCCTGCCTTCAGTCAGTTTGGAGTGCGGACCCTCTTAGGAACCCTCGGCTCCTAAAAGTGTACACAGAAGCTGGCGTAGCTCCAAGCTTTGAGGCTTATACAAATTCATTGTTTCATTATTATATTCATAGTATTTGTTGATAAACCTACATTTAGGCAGTCTGACTTTCGGGGCTTCTCGCGTGACTCAGCATGGCCCAAGTGACTACTGGGAACAATCAATAACCTTTACACCTCTTCGTTTCGAGGTCATCCTTGCAGTGTATGACGAAAATGATTGCGTAGTCTCTTTCGAACTATTTGTCACATATTTTCGGTCACGCAGAGGAAGCTGCCTGTCCCACGGCCGCCGCTTTGAGTCGTTGACATTCAGTTGAAATGTGCTAGCACCAAGATTACTGGTCGATCGCGAGGATTGGACATGAAATTAAAAGTGCGACTTAAGCATGTCATCAGTGGGTCTCAATACTCAATCAACAATGCAGGACAATTTTTGGAGAAACCAAAGCACGTAAGCATCGATCAGGAAGAAATAATGGTCTCATTTGATGTGAGCTCACTATTCACGTCTTTGGACCTCGATTCCACTAAGCAAAAGCAAAACGACAACGTGAATTTACGGAAGCGTGGTACTCCACCGAAGGAGCCGTCAACAAACACGTCGAACTTGATCCCATTTACCAGCCACCAAGAGCGAGAGAACGCCAGAACCACGGAGCCTAGAGCTGCAAAAGTGACCAGACGAGGAACTCATAAGAGAAGCAGGAAAGCGACATTCAAACGGACACATCAATGGGATTAGAGGAGGCTCACAATCAAAGCATCAAATCAACCGGCGGACACAGGGACACTAACCACCACGGTGGAGGAAATAGGGCGGTACAAGCGACCAATCAAACTCGAGAATGGCAGACCACAACGCGATGCGGATCAAGGCCAGAGAGAACAAGCTACAAAAATTAGGAGCCATTGGGATAACCAGTCAG